TCTGTCACCTTGGTCTGTTTCCAACTCACACGCATGGCCAGCGGGTGGGTGAGGCCTCGGTTGTTCCTCCTCCTTCTCAGTCTATATCCAGCGTGGCCAGTGGTCCACTCCTCCCTCCCGTCTTTCTCTGGTCCTGACCCAGACCCAAGTGGGCTCCTCAGATCAAAGAACCGTCTGCTCAGGCGGAGCTGGGTCTTCAAAAGGGGGTGCAGGGCCCTCCCGGTGTGGCTCAGTGATTGAGCGTCACCCTATGAACCAGGAGGTCATGGTTGATTCCTAGTCAGGGCACATGCCCGGGCTGCAGGCTCCATCCCCAGTGGGGGTGTGCAGGAGGCAGCCAATCAATGGTTCTCTCTCATCACTGATGCTTCTGTCTCTCTCTCCCTCTCCCTTCCTCCCTGAAATCAATAAAAATATATATTTATTTAAAGGGGGCGGGGAGGGTGCAAGAACCATGGTGTCCAGGCCGGGGCGAGTCAGCAGCAGGATGGGGACTGGCTCTGGAAGGGCAAGTGGAGAGCCCCCCTCCCCCAGCCCACATGGTCAGCACAGGCAGGACACCAGGGCCAACGTGGGCAGAGCGGGTATTTCTCCAGAAAGGGCCATGGTGAGCAGCGCTGCCAACCAGCACGTCACTGGTCCCTGCTGTGAGGACTCTGGAAAAGCTGACCACATCGGTAATTAGAGGCCGGAGGTGGCCAGACCTCATAGCATCTCTGACTTCACCTTCCTGTCGGGGCATGAGAAGGTCTCCCGGGAGAAGGAGGTGAAGCTAAAGCTAGAGGCCGAGAGAGGTCCATCCAGCGCGCGCTCTCTCTCCACCTCCCTCCCTCCCTCCCTCCCTCCCTCCCTATATTTATATTTTAGAGAGAAAGGGGGAGGGAGAGGGAGAGGGAGAGAGCGAGAGAGGGAGAGAAAGATAGAAATATCAATGATCGATCGGCTGCCTCCTGCACACCCTACACTGGGGATCGAGCCCACAACCCCAGGCATGTGCCCTGACCAGGAATTGAACTGTGGCCTCCTGGTTCACAGGTCAATGCACAACCACCGAGCCTCGACAGCCAGGCTGACTCTCTGCTCTTTAAACCAGTTTCTTTGAAAACGTGGCAGGTCCCTTCCTACCAGCTCTTAAACACCCTCCGAGGGAAACGTGTCTTATGAGAGAGGACCTATTTCACCAGCGTCCTCTGAGGTTGGTGGTTCAGTAGGAACAGGCCAGCAGAGTGACACAGCTTATAGACGAGGATGCACACAGGTGTTTATTCTCTCTGGCAGCCGCAGGCACATGCACAGTCCCTTTTGCCTTCAACGCAGGGTAGCATTTTGCTCTGTGTTGGAGCAGCATCTTCCCACAGGGCACTCGCTTGTGGCATAAACCACAGTGCCAATGGCAGGGGCCTCCGTCGGCGAGCACCTGGATGTATCTGGGGAAGAGAAACGCCCTCCGCGTGGACTGGCCTAGGTGCTCTTGGGGGCGCTGGCTGTTAGGGTTGAGCTGTGGGCAGCAGCAGGTTTCCGATGGGCATCCAGCAGAGAGGATGGTATGTGTCCCCTCTGAAGGGATGGGGACAAGTCCCAGCACCCTCTCTGGTAGGAGGAAGCTGACAGATGGAGGTCATGGGGGCAGCCTTGGGGTGGTTACCTCTCTTGTCACTGAAGCCATTGTGGCTGCCTTTTCCCTGCCGGCTCTCATTGTGATGGCCTAGGCCAGTGGTCAGCAAACTCTTTAGTCAACAGCCAAATATCAACAGTACTTCTTCAAAATAGACTCGCCCAGGCCGGAAACCGACTTCTGTGCATGGGCCACGAAGTTTCAATCGCACTGTGCCTGCACGCCCGCACGTGGTATTTTGTGGAAGAGCCACACTCAAGGGGCCAAAGAGCCGCATGTGGCTCACGAGCCGCAGTTTGCCAACCACGGGCCTAGGCTGGCAGCCCAACCTCTTCTCTGCTGCTTATGTTTTCTGGTTTAGGGTGGTTTCTGCAGCTTTCGACCACTCCCTGGGCAAAGGTGTGCCCACAGCAGTGGGTTTCCGGGGGGTCCCCGCCTCAGGTAGTGGGAGCTCCCTGAGCTCTGCCCACAGCAGAGCTGCCAGGGTGCCTCCTCTCTGCAGGTGGCCTCTTAGACGTGTCTCCCATGAGCCCCTCCTGGTGTGTGTGTGTGGGGTGGGGGGGTGGTCACTGTGGAGACAGGGCCTGTCACTCCAGGTGACTTAATCAGCGTGGAAAGCGCCCTGGAAGCCGCCGGTTGGTGTTCTGCCTCCCAGCACAAATGCTCTTCAAGTGGTGGTGACCTGACGTGGACTCTCGGAGAAAGGCCTTTTGATCCCGGGCCGGGATCCTGTCCCCGCGTGCTCCCGGCTGCCTCCCTGTGGAACAGCGGCGCCCCGCCGCCCAGCCAGGCTCTGCTGGGAGGCAGCTGACCTGAAAGTGATGTTATTTTGTTTTCACGTGGGTTTTAGTACCTAGAGCAAGAATATTTTCAGCCGGTTATTGAGGCTGATTAGTGAGTCTTAGGTCTCCATGAGGTTAAATAGAGCCGCCTTCACAGATGTATTTTGGGACAGTGCAAATCCCGGGTTCTGCATGGGATTGAGTTACCCCAAAAGGTGGTCTGAGCCTTGCAAAGCAGTCTGGGTAAATTCCCATGGTGCCAGACCACTAGGTGGGGCATCCAGAGCAGCAGACACGGGGTGCTTCTCTCCTCACCCTGGAAAAGCGGGGGGTGGTCAGTTGCGCTCTAGACTCAGCTCCCAGCCCTGTTGCTTGCTGGCTTAATTGTATTTGAACCAGTTGTATTTGGCCCCTGAGAGGCTCAGTTTCTTCATCTGTAAATTGGGAATAATAATACCCACCTCTCAGGGTGAGTCTATAATCTACTCCACACTGTGTGGAGGTGTGTGCTCACATGAGTATCAGTACAGCCGTGGGCAAACTACGGCCCGCGGGCCGGATCCGGCCCGTTTGAAATGAATAAAACTAAAAAAAAAAAAAGACCGTACCCTTTTATGTAATGATGTTTACTTTGAATTTATATTAGTTCACACAAACACTCCATCCATGCTTTTGTTCCGGCCCTCCGGTCCAGTTTAAGAACCCATTGTGGCCCTCGAGTCAAAAAGTTTGCCCACCCCTGAGTTAGGAGGACTGTTGGGGAGCATAGAGGGAGAAGGTAACAGGAAAAACTCAAGAAGAAAGCGCTACCTTCTCTCCTTAAATGGTCTCAAGACATCATGAATCAAATCATCAAGACATGACCAGGCCCACCAGGCTCATCCCAATGGTGAGGGGCATTGGCCTTCGGAGAGAGAGGTGTGGAGGCCGGCGGCCCACGGAGGTCAGGAGGACGGTGCTCTGTGCTGGCTGTGCTGGGACCAGCTGTGTGACCTTAGGCCAGGCCTTTACCTCTCTGAGCCTCGTGTCCAGCTCCGTAGAGAGAGTAGGTTGGATTCCTTCCAGACCCACCATCCATAGTCCTGTGACTCAGATGATCGTAGTGTCCATGTTCCTTCCTTGGAGAAAATCACTGTATCTTGATCCTCCATTAGAAGAGAAATGGTCACGAGCGGAAACTCACTCAGTGTGGATGGAAATGTGCCTGGCTGCCTCTGTGGGCGTCCCAAGTGCTGCCCGAGCTTCCCCTTTTCTGGGAGGGTCTTCTGGGAGGGTCTGGGGAGAAACTGGCCCTAGACATGGGGTCCAGAGGTTGCCTGGAACTGGGTGGGAAGGTCTGGGGCATCTAACTCTGCAGAGGGGGAGCCTGGGCGGAGGGGGAAGGGGGTGAGTTTCGGTCGTCTGTGCTGATGTCATCGTCTCTGTCTCCTCTGAAATAGCTGTGCTTTGGGGCCGAGATTGACAAATCCTGGAGCGGGAGATGTTGAAATGGTTGTAAACAACTTATAATCAGTTCCGTGTCCGCATGAGACAGGCGAGCTCACCCAGGCTTCTTGTCAGCTCCAGGCCCTTCTGCACTTGGCAAGGGCGCCCTGGGCAGTGAAGGAGCCCCTCGGGGTCAAGGGAAATACGAAGGCCCGCCTTTCAGAGGCCTCGCTTCGTCAGGGCCGGGGCCCACTGGCTTGGTCTGCCGCCGCGAGTTCTAAATTCCTTGGTGGTGCTGAGAAAGTGCTCTGGGCTGGGAGGGCCAAGTCCCAGCCCTGCCACCTCCCCCGGGCAACTCCACTGAACCCCCCTTCCCCGCCCCTGCTCTTCACAGGCGGGTGAAGGGGGGGTAAGGGTAGCCCCCGCCCTCCCACTCATTTCCTGGGCTCTTTGGAGGTTCATAAACGAGCATCTGAAAAACCTCTGTGTGCTCACTTTGTAAGCTGAAAGATGGCCAATAAGGCACCCATATTATTGTTTTCTCTCACAAAGTGTAATCCGAACAATGGCAATCATTATGGCAACTGTTAACTGAGTGTTTACTAGGTGCCCAGCTCTGGGCTAAGAGCTTTCTCGCTTTCTAGCTGCACAGTCAGCCCATGAGCCCGTGCTTTTTCCATGTGCATTTCATAGAGGTCAAGGAAGTTGTCTAAGGTCACCCAGCTTGGAAGGTCCGAGTGACCAGAGGCAGCCTCTCGGGGGTGGGCCTCCCACTCCGGTGGCTTGTTATTTTCCAGTGACTTCCTTTGATTTATCTGTGCTGGTGGTTCTCAGCCCAGCTTCCTGGCATCTCAACCTCAGCTGCCTGGATGCCCGGCCCTTGTCGCCAGAAGGTCTGACTTGGGTGGGGTGGGTGAGGCCCGAGCACCAGTGCTGGCTCCCCAGGGATTCTGATGCGCGGCCCGAAGGAAAGCCGCTGTCCCAGGCACGTGTCCACGATGGTGCAGAGCAGGCCGGACGGGATGCCGGGCCTTCTGCCCTCCCTGGGCCTCAGCTCCTTGCCCTGCAGGAGGGGGTGGGCCACTCCAGGGAGTCTTCTCCTGGGGCCCCGAAGGTTCTGTCACTTTAAGACGCTCATGAGCAAATCTCTTACTGTTCTTTTCCTTCTTCTGTTTCAGGCAGAATATGAAGTTACTCCAGATGAAAAACTGGGAGAAAAAGGGAAGGAAATTATGACCAAGTACCTCACCCCTAAGGTAAGAGGCTGCCCACACCCCACAGCAGGAGGACTGGGGGGCCTGATCCAGGAAGACGGGCCCCCAGACCTGTGCTGGGCCGTGTGGCTGCCATGGGTCTCCAGAGATCCAGAATCTTCGTCCTTCCCCAGACAGTGCCCGTGCCTGGCAGGACCGACGGGTGCCCAGGCCAGGCCAGCGGGTGGTTTGAGGGTCCGTGTGGCAGGGAAGGGTTTGGAGATGGGAGGGGAAGAGGGTGGCCGAGGCTGTGTTGGCAAAGGCAATGTCAGTTGAACACAGAACAGAATGCAGAGTATTCTGAAGTAGGTTCCGGAGTGAACGGAGGGTGAGGGGCCGCCCTGACCCCGCCTCAGGAGCACCCCCTCGTGGCTGAAGGAAGAGAGGCAGTGCCTCCCCCTGTCATTCCCCCCAGGGCCCTGGTGGCCTTGGTCCCTGGAACTTGTGTCTTCTTACCCCAGTTTGACAGATGAATGTGTTCTCCATCCGTGTCGGAGGAGCTGGCCTGGGGGCCGGGTTTTCATCCCAGCTCTGCCACCCACACAGTCATGTTTCCTCTGGGCCTCAGACGCCCTTTCTGAAGAGTGGCCCTCCCCCCAGACCCACCTCCCGGAGGCCCTGAGAGCCTGCGATGAGACCAGCACGCAGACAGCTTTACGTGCATCCTGCACCCTGTGGGCAGCGGTGGCTACGTCCCCCGTCCCCCCAGGACCCGGACTGTGTGGGCGCCAGCCCCCCAGGAAGCGTGCTCCTCATGTCCAGGCTGCTGGTGGAGTAAAGGCACTGTGGCCTGTGTGATGGGGTCCTGGCTGTCCATCCCTCACAGTGTGGCAGGGGGGCCACACACAGCCATGAGGTCAGGAAACGGCCCACTCCTAACGCCCACAAGACCCTGGTTGTCCTCTGCCCAGGCCTCAGTGTTCTTTGCTGTAAAACGGGTGAGGCTTGACCCGTTTATCGCAGAGGGTCCCTGCCAACTGGACAGTCACGGACTGTGCCCTCTCCCAGCTCACACGGCGGGAGGGACAGGTTGTTCGCAAGACAAGAACCAAGCGAGAAGCAGAGGAGACACTTCTAGGCAGGGAGAGGGGTGTGATGCGTGGAGACTCCCAGGGTGGGACATCTGGCCCCTGAAGAAAGGCGGCCTCTCACCCACCTAAGAGTATTAATCAGTTGATCCTTCATGAGCTTGACTCAGAAGGCCCTCCCTGCCTGCCACCTGGGGTGCTAACCCCAGGGCCTGTGTCTGTGGGCGACGGCACTGAGGCTGGGGCAGCCTGAGCCGGGTGTACAGGTACCTGGTGGACTCTCCTCAGGAGATGGGGGTCAGGGGGTGGGAGGTGGACAGAATCCAGGCCTCATGCAGCAGCTCCTCCAGCAGCAGCTGGGCTGCTGAAAGCCTGCAGCCCCGTGTGAAGGCGTCCACATGATTCAAGGGGTTTAACCCACAGTAGCCCCTTCACCCCGGGGCTTTAAGAACGACAGCTCACTGACTGGGCACCTATGGGAGCTAGACGCCACCTCGATGTTCTCTGTGATGAGAACAGACAGCCTGTGTGCAGGCTGCGCGGCCGGGAGGGAGGAGCCTGCTGCAGGCGCAGCTAATGGAACAGCGCAGGCAGCTTCCACCGCCAGGGCGGCTCAGCTTAGCCCGCTGTCTCCATCGCGCCCCTTCGGGGCTGCCCACCTGCCTGGGTTCCCTGCAGACAGTAGCAGCCTTCATGTATTGAGGACCCACTGTGTGCTGGCGCCGTCTCACTTAGTCTTTGCTGTCACCGTGTGATGTGCTTCTGTTGGCTCCGCCTTAAGGGGAGGGTGGGAGGCTCTGGAGGGGCTGCCCCTGTCCCAGGTCACACAGCTGGGGTTGAGCCCGGGTTGGGGTGACCCAGGAGCCCTGGGTCCCGTGTGGTGCACTGTTTCCCACGCCTGCCCCCTCGCTGCTGTGCTGCCCCGTCCCGCAGGTCTGCGGCCTGGCTGATCTCAGCGAGGATGAAGGGGCTCTTTGCCCGGCCTCGCCGACTCTTTCTGCCTATCCGAGGGCTACCCTCTCTCCCCACTTGGCCAACCTCATCCACAAGTCTCTGCCAGTGGACCCCCCGTCTGGGCCCTCCAGGCCGCCTGCCCCTCTCAGGGCTGCCTCCCCCTCCTGGCGGGCGGGCCCAGCCTCCCGTGGCTCAGACAGTTTTACAGGCCCTCAGAGCTGCCAACAGTTTTTTCTCACGTGCTCCTCCGTTTTTAACGTTTAAACCACACCATGTGTGATGGCCCCAGGGCCGGGGGCCGGTGGTCAAAGTGGCCCTGTGGGCCGACTGTTTTCCGCCAATAAATTTTGCACCGCCTTCCCCGCCTTCCTGTGGCTGCTCTCTCGGGAGCCGGCTTCCCTCTCGGTCCTGCAGACGCCTCAGGTGCTGGGGAGCGAGGGGCAGCGAGTGGCTGAGGCTACTGTCCCCAAGCCCAGCTTGTCCTTGCCTTGGGCCTCTCAAGATGCAGCGCAGGTGTCTCGGCTCCAGGGACCATTTTCCAAAGGGGGGACCATATCATGCTGACCAGGAAACACCTCTGTGACCTCGCCCACATGTCAGCAGTGCCGAGGCTAAGGAACCCTGGTGTCGAGGGGGGGGCGGGTGTGGGAGGTCAGTTTTGCAGGAGTGGACGGTAGAGGGGCCGGGCCTCTGGGCGGCAGGGCCAGGAAAACCTTGTCGGGGACTTTGACATCATCCCAAAGGCAGTGGGGGCCGCTGGGGCTCTGCATGCCATTGACAGTCTAGGGCAGTGGTCGGCAAACTGCGGCTCTCGAGCCACATGCGGCTCTTTGGCCCCTTGAGTGTGGCTCTTCCACAAAATACCATGTGCGGGCACGCATGTATAGTTCGATTGAAACTTTGTGGCCCATGGGCAGAAGTCGGTATTTTGTGGAAGAGCCACACTCAAGGGGCCAAAGAGCCACGTGTGGCTCAAGAGCCGCAGTTTGCCGACCACTGGTCTAGGGTGATCCCTCTGACCACAGGGAGGAGAAAGGGGAGGGGAGACTGGAGGCAGGAGACCATCCAGGGACCTGCTGCAGGGGCTGTGGGTTGACCCAATCCGGGTGCTGGTCCCTGAGTGGGTGCAGGTGCCCAGGAAAGACAGAGAGCGTAGGAGGAGGGTCATTAGCTCACGGGGCGGAGATGACGGCATCTGCTCCGAGTGTCCCCTGCCCAGCACAGCCCTAGACACAGTCTCATTCAGTGCCAGTCGGTTTGATGGAGGCAGTGAGGGGGCCCGGGAAGCTTCCTCACAGGCCCTCACCTCTCCTACCTCAGGTCTCTTTCTGGGGAGCTGGCGCTTGGCTGGCTGTGTCCCCCCGTGTCTGGTTGTTTGCTGGGAACGTTCCTCTCAGAGTCAAAGCTTAAGCTCAGAGTTGAATTCTCGACTTCCGTGCGATGATGCTCTTCAGACCCACCAAGTCCCCTCCTTGGATGCTGCCCAAGTCCTGCATCCAATGCCCACACACGGCAGCCTTGCTCAGGGGGCGTGAGAGGACGCAGCCAGGTGGGCTTGGGGACAGGCTGGAAGCTGTGGGAGAGCGAAGACAAAGGCAGCAGGTGCTGTGAGAAGGTGAATTTTAGCCCCTGGTACACCTGGGTTGGAAGCCAGATTTGGCTCCTTGGCACACGGCCTTGGGAACTGACGTGACTTCACCGCTCGATGACGCAGGATAGTGAGTGGCGGGCGACATCAATACCAGCGAGGACAGAGCCAGGGGCTGGTACATGTCAGCCACTCGCTCTGACCGTCCCCTCCCTTGTCTGCACTTTCAAAATCAGGCTGCTGAGTGAGGAAATCATTCAGACATGAATTCCAGCTGTGGGGTGTGAGAGGCCAAAGAGGGGTCCGGAGGGGCCCCCAGGATGGGGGCTGGCCAGAGCGGCCGCACTCATTACAAGGCAATGCAATAGTCAGGAGGATGAATGCCCGCGGCCGGGACACACGAACCCAGGCCTTGGGGCTTCCCGCCACGGAGATGTCTTGCTTTCTCATGCACAGCCCGATTGTGTCTTCAGCTCTCCTGGGCTGCTTGTGTGGCTCCACCGTCTTAAAGATGTTGTCACATGGTAACCTCCAAAGGGGGAGAGAAGCATGACAGAGGCACATAAGCCTTAGCTGCCTTGGCCCAGGGCGACAGCCACTTCCTCTCCCAATCCACTCTCCCGGCCAAGGGGGTGGCCAAGAAGGATGAAGACTACTGCTCTGTCTCTGCTAGCAGATACTGCCTAATCGGATAAAGGATCATGGGAGCCCTGGCCGGGTAGCTCAGTTGGTTAGAGCATCATCCCGATACCCCAAGGTTGTGGGTTCCATCCCCAGTCAGGGCACATACAAGACAACCAGTGAATGCATAAATAAGTGGAATAGCAAATCTCTCTCTCTCAAATCAAATTAAAAAATTAAAAAAAGAATCGTGGGTTTTATCTATTCGTATACATGTTGCTCAAGGTAGGCTGGGGGATTCTGGGAGGCACGTGGAGTATTGCTACCTCTCCGTGTTCTCATCCCCATCCCCCCAGCTGAAAGCATTGTCTGTGTAGCAGGCCAGTCTCTGGGCTGGTGAGACAGCCAGGAGCATGGCACTTCTTTTTTTGTATTTACTATTTTTATTGATTTCAGAGAGGAAGGGAGAGGGAGAGAGAGAGAGAGAGAGAGAGAGAGAGAGAGAGAGAGAGAGAGAGAAACATCAGTGATGGGAGAGAATCATTGATGGGCTGCCTCCTACACACCCCATACTGGGGATCGAGCCCGCAACCCAGGCATGTACCCTGACCAGCAATCGAACCGTGACCTCCTGGTTCATAGGTCGACGCTCAACCACTGAGCCACGCCAGCTGGGCAGCATGACATGTCTCACAGCTATTCTCAGGCTTGTCAGCTCCGAGGAGCTGCCCAGGGACCCCTGAATGGAATCAGATACAGGTGCTGGGCTCTGTAGAGATCTGGGCAGCTCACCTCCCAGGTGCCTGCAGATC